AAACTTACTCATGTTACTCACCTGGCCCCTGCGTGTTTTCGTCTTTCAATCTGTTCTGTAGATGGTAGCTTTCTATGGTAATCAGTTTTAATGAAATTCTGGGGATCCCAAAGCAACAGCTTTTCTGTTGTGTTTTATTTTTGTTTTAGTATATATCTGTAAGCCTGGATACTTTAAAAAGTTTCTGGAAAATCTGAATTAAAAGATGAGTTTATTTCGATGCAGATTTCCCATCCATGCATGGTTTTTTCATAATACACATTTTTTTATGAACTTGAAAATCCTGAATGGATATGGGTACCAACATTTTTTGTGTAGCACTAACCTTTAATTTCATTTCCATTGACTTTTTGCAGTCTCCTCGTGTGAGCTGTTTCATAGTATGGCAAGATGCACGGCTTCTACGCTCTCTCAAGGGGTTTTTCTTTTACATATTCAGTCAGCATTTGTTGACAGTCCCTTGGTGCCCAGGCCCTCTGCTAGCCTGGAGATGACCTTTCATGATCTTTAGGGTGATTTTTGTTTCTAATATAATAAGAACTACAATAGCAAAATGTGCAGGTGCTGGAGGAACTAGGGTGGGAAGATGTCAGTTGAAGGGAAACTTTGTAGAGTTGAGTCACATTGTGACCCAGTCTTAGCAGAGCGAGCAAGAGATAGTGGTCACCACAAAGATGAAGGACAAGGCTTGCTCAGTAGCCTGTACGGAGGTCCCTGGTTCTGAGCAGCCACAGCCAGGGGTGAAGATGATGGGAAGTGTGTCATGAGTGAAGTTCAGGGACCTTTATGTGCTGAACCTGGAAATCTCATGGAGCCAACCCACAAAAAGTGTTGAAAGCCTGATTTTATAAAGAAACGGTTCCTGGAGTTGGGATCACAGACAGAAGCATTTCAACATAAAACCCTCAGTCCTCTCATTCTGTTTCTTAGAAAAGAATCCTGGCCACAGTGAACCTCTTCAAGCCAGCTGTTGCATTTTTGCTTCGCAAAGTGCCTTTCTGGTTTGTATTGATGCTATTAGTCAAAGAGTGCTGTCTCAGAGAACTGAAGGTCATTTGGACATCATTGGTCTTTGGCGCTAGGTATTCAAGGCAGTGCTATGGGCTGCATATCATAGACTGGGCAGCACCACCGCCGACCAGTCAGGGAGCTTGTCTCCAAGTTAGCTGTCAGTTACAAGTTCATGGACAACATTGGGTATTCAAGTAGGTCCCGCAATACACTTGGCAAGCAGGAGCACCCTTGGCTGGCAGATCCAGCATCTGTCATTTCCGTTCCAGATCTCTTCTTTCATGGTCTATATTCAGATGTAGCCTGGGCCAAATTCTGAAAGGAATGTGGTATCACACACAAATCATTAAGACTCCACATCAAGCTGGCCCTCTCCCAGATGTGGAAGTCTTTGAAGGATCTGAGTCCTGACCACTCAAAACCAGCAGAGCATCTCATCAACTCCAAAACACAAGATCTAAATAAGCTGTGTATAAGGGAACTATGTATAAATGATAACAGATACAATTTAGGACATGTGTAAAGAAAATTCTTTGAAAAGAAGAGCTTTTAGAACACAAGAGGGCCTAATTAGAAAAACAACTATACCCTCCTTGAAAGATTGTCTGTTTTCATTGAACTCCAAAACTCGGTGCCTGAGTAGCCTCTTTTTTCCATTTATGTTTCATTCTGTAATCACAAGACAACTTCTATTGGTGCCAAACACTGTTCTGTAAGCTCTCATAACCAGAGGATACCTATTCACGACTTCAGGAACACACATGCAGTCACTGGCACCATATTCATGGGACCCAAGAACTTGGTAGGCAGTGTTTTGAGAACTGTCCACACTGTGCCATCATTTCGGGAGTATATGTCACCACTTCCAAGGAAATTCCATGTAGTTCATTTTCCAGCATCATTGAGATGTTACGACACTAACGTTTTTTGCTGGCAGTGTAAAATCTATAAAGCTCACACTCTGCTTGCAGGAAGGTCTTCAGAGTAGCTCCAGTCATTCCTATGAGCCTTCCGGGCTGAACTGAGCCTACCCACACCACCCTCGTTTTAAATACTCATCTGTGGGCCTGGCGCAGTAACCTGGTGACTTAAGTCCTACCTTGCATGTGCTGGGATCCCATATGGCACCAGTTCTAATCCCAGAAGCCCCGCTTCCCATCCAACTCCCTGCTTGTGGCCTGGGAAAGCAGTCAAGGATGGCCCAAAGCTTTGGGATCCTGCGCCCATGTGGGAGACCCGGAGGAAGCTCCTGGTTCCTGGCTTCAGATTAGCTCAGCTCCAGCTGTTGGTGCCACTTGGGGAGTGACTGAGCGGATAGAAGATCTTACTCTCTTTCTTTCCTCCTCTGTGTATACCTGACATTCTAATAAAACATAAATAAATATTAAAAACAAAAAACAAATTAGGAAATGTAAGCCCCACATATCTATTAAAAAATAAAATAAATTATCATCTGCAGGAGGATCTGCCCTATCTTCCTCACCTTGTTTGTACTGTCCTCTCCGTGACAGCTACTGGAACAGAGCAGCTGCTCGCATCACAACAGGGCAGCCATGATGCTGAGGCCAGAAAGACCAGTTGTTAGGACTAGCTGCATGAGGGGGTAAGGGGAATGACTCCCTTGCCCCAGACTACCGATGGGCCTGCCCCATTCCTGACACGGATCATTTCTGCCCTCCTCTCCCTCCCTGCTCTGTTGAAATGCGGGGATCTCCCCTTGGTTTGCTAAGAGGTTAAATCCTGAGAAGCACATCCTCCGTTGAAACTAGGCCAAGTGGTACAACTAACCCACTGGTCACTCCAGCTGAGCGGCACAATGCAGTGCAGGGGCGTGGGTGGCTTCCCTCCATGTCCACAGCGCTGTGGACTGCCAGCTCCATGCCCCACACAGGAGAACCAGACGCCATGGCTCGGCACTGGCCTGGGAAAGACACAAGCACAGTTTCTATTGAATCACATCTCTCTTACAGCGTTATGATGTTAAAAAAATCATGGCAGAATCCATCTGCATATTCATGGGCCTCTCTACTCTGAATAAGCAGAGCATGAGGGAAAACCCTCAATTCTTGGCTTGCTTTCAGCTCTTTTAAAAATAAATAATGATTATCCCTGTAAAACTGTCATTTTAAGTTAGTTTCCTAATCTCATGAAGGAAAACAGCAGGGCGAAGGACTGGTCTGTCAGTCTTGGGCGGAGACTGGCACATCTCATTCCTCCCAGACAGCAGGCACCAAGGGAAGCCAACACAGACACAAGTTCATGGCCGTTTCCCCAGAAACAAAAGTGCCACCTTTCCAAAGACAACGTGTCACTCTGTGGTGCAGGCCACTAGAGTGCCATGTGCACTGCCGCCTCTGCCGTCCACCTAGACCCCAGGGGGACCTGCACAGCCAACAGCTGGGGCTCTTTGTTGTGTGGATAATGGCAAGTGGGATGTCCATGGGACCTCCTCAGTGCTCATGGAGGGAGCTGGTTGTCCCTTCCCTACCTCAAGCTCAGGGATTCCCCACTCAATCCCAGACACTAGCAGGGCCTGGCAGTGAAGCCTCTGGAGCCCAGGCAGGCAATGTGTGCAGATATTGCCTGCCACTGAAGAATTGTTTTCAATGATCAGTATGGACCATGACATCGATCTGATCTGGAGAGGTGAAAACTTTTATGGATGCTTTGTGCAAACTCCCGTTATCCCTAACCTTGCTGTTCCAAAAGGTGCTTTCCGTGTGGGATTTCTCACAAGATTATTTTTTGTCTTGGAGTTTTTACAGGAGAAACAAGGTTTCAAATCCTGCTCCCCCTGAACCTGCCTCCCACCCCTATTCTCTAGACATATAAGAGTCTCCTCGAGCAAAGCGCTCACCCAAGGTGTAAGGACGGGGGAGGGTGGTCCTTTACCTTGTCCAGGCTGCTTTACACAGGATATGGTAAACCTTCACGGGCTGCACAGCCTCTGACTTTGACTTACAAATCATCTGTCCCGTGGAGGGCGTGCTCACTGTTGCCAGCAGAGAGCAGGTATCAGCTGACTCGGCCTAAAAACCTAAATAAATAAAGGTGACCAGCATGTTGTGGGTTTAGAGCTTGATCTCAAAAAGAACATCTTCAGTTCCCATTCAGTCAGTGAAGGACTTGATTAATGTTGAATACTGTAAGTCCTGTGATCACTTTCTTGACCCAGACACCTTGTGGGTGGATGTGAGCTATTTGATCATTGGGTGGTTGGTTAATTATGATTAGAAAACAGCATCATTTCTCACGGGTGACCATCTTAAACATCAGGTGTCAACTTGAAATGCTGTTTCTCGGATTCGCTGGGCTGGGGTTGAATCTCAAAGTCTGGAATGAACAGCGAAGGTGTCGGTGAAGGAACTTACATTCCATGGAAAGTACCTATTCACACAGCAGGCCATCTCCCATGGTGGCTCCCACACTCACCTCCATGAGTTGGAAAAGAATAGGAGTAAAACATTAACTCTGATGGCCCCGTGGGTGCTAGTACTTGCCAGCACGCCACAGAAGCTCAGACCAGCCACCCTTCCCTGCCCCAGCAGGCTTCTTCCTGAGACCTACCACCCACGGTTTTTTCCTGGGGCAGAAGTAAAACCAACATTGATGTCCCACTTTTGCAAATATTTCCAGCATTTTGGATTCCCTTGTGTTTAGAAGGGAATTGGGGATATGCTTGCAACACCATTCCCAGCAGCAACTTGGGGACAGCGGTCGTATACAGCAACAGAATCTCTTCCAAGGGGGCCACACACATATACAGCTCATGCCTGGCTCCTGTGGGACAGCAGTTGGTTCCTGGTTTTGTTTGCAGCTGTAATTTGTTTCAGACCTGTAGGATGCCCTGGGCCTTGCCAGGGACGCTGGAGGTCCAGCTCCTGGTTGACAGATGTATAAGTGGTCTGCTTGCTGCCAGGAGTGTCTACCCGTTCGCTCACTTGGCCTTCCTTCTCTTTGCTTCCCTGGGGGCCCGTGCGGGCTGGCAGCACCACGGTCCAACAGAGCAGTTGCAGAGCCTCCGTGCCTTCCAGCAAGGGCAGCAGCAGTGGCAGCAGCAGCGGTAGCAGCAGCTCCTCCAGCGACTCGGAGAGCAGCTCTGGATCCGACTCGGAGACAGAGAGCAGTTCCAGCGAGAGCGAGGGCAGCAAGGCCGCCCACTACTCCAGCCCCGAGGTAAGCTCCAAAAGCCCACCAGCCTCGTGCCCCTGCCTTTGGGCTTCGTGGGGCACTAGGGACCCTGTTTGCCCTTCCGTTTCCCCTCCTGTCTGCCCATTTCCTAACAACACAGCCTCCTTGGAAGTTTGGGTAACATCATCTTTCATGGTCCCCAAACTTAGACCAGAAATCCCAGCCTGTGCTGTGACCATCACTGACAGGAAATAACCTGTGGGTCAGCCAAGGATGTGGGAGACAGGGCCATCCACTGCCTGGCCTCTGTCCATCACAGGGGAAGGGCTGTAGGGATCAGACATGGTAAAACCCTTACCTTTTTGCAATTTGTTATGGATCAGAAGAACTGGAGCTGTAAATATTCACAGACTGTATTTTCTCTATGAAAGCCCAAAAAGGGAAGACCCACAGATAATAATCTAGCTGTTTATAGGAATGATGAGTATCCATGTAGGAGATATTGGTGCCTCATCTAAAACCATTGTCACCCCCAGCCCCTGGCTGCAGAGCAGCCTGATTGCTACAGAAAACGTGGGGTAGTTGCTTCCTGAGGGCGTTTGTGGTTGGCATTGCCATGGTGTGGGCCATTTGCTTTCTCATGTATGTACTCACACGTGTGCTGAACGTGTTGGGAACCAGTTCTTGAAAGGCTGTGACATGAGACAATGATGCACTTAAAGGCTTGTTTGCGCTTCCAGCTTTTCCCCTCCATCCGCTCTTCTGCTTCTTCTCTCCTCTCTCCCCTCTCTCTGAGGAGAAGGCCCTTAGCATCAACCTGTGAAAGTCATAGGTCACAGATGGATGTAACCTTTTCCCAGAAGGTATATTGTCATTCTTCTTCTTCATTTCCTCCATCCAGGTACTCATTCACTGTTCAGGCAACAAATATTTTCTACATAGTAGACACAGACGCAGGGCTAGGCTGTGGATAGAGTAGTTAAATGATGGGAGATATTCCTGTCTTCACAAAGCTGCCATTCTAATGGAGATTATTGGAGGCACACCAACAAAAACACAGGTTTAAGATGTGGGTGTTTGGCCTAGCACTTAGGATGACTCTGTCCCTCAGGTGCCTGAGTCTGAGTCCTGGCTCGGCTTCTGTCTGCTGCTTCCACTACTGCACACCCTGAGAAGCAGTGGTGATGTTTCTGGCCACCCATATGGAGCCCCTAGATCAGTTCCCAGGTTTATCCACTGTACCACAATGCCCACCCCCTCTAAAAGAAAAAAGTGTAGGAGTTACATAAAATCACTCAGAGTGAGACAGGCCTATCTAAAGTCTGATTTATGCTACAATTTCTTAAAAAAAAAAAAAACCTCCAGAATATTTAGTTATACTAAATATTTGGACAGTGCTCAATCCAGGTGCAGGGGATGGATAAGAGCATTGCACGTCTGTGAAGTGTACCCTGTCCAGGCTATCCTTCATGAGCACTGAGTTGTTTCCACGTTGCAGTGTGACTCTGAGAGCTCCTACCTCAGCTCAGAGCTTGCCTGGAGCTACGCAGTGGCCAAGTGTTTGAAGCAAAATCCATCTTCAGGTTGCTGAGATCCTTCTCAAGCCTTGAGCTCCCGGGACCGCAGAAAGGAGCCCTCTTGACTTTTCTTCAAAAGCTGTCAGTACCCCTCCACACTCAGGAGATGGAGCAGCCTGAATCCATGGAAGGAGCCTGGGGGAGGCCGAGCCATCCAAGGCCATGAGCCCATCAGTCGCTTACATCTCAGTGCAAAAGCAACAAGCACTGTGTCAACTACACAGCCTGTCCCTTCTCTGCTGGAGAGGACTGCTGGTACCTGAGTGGAAGCAGGCTCCTTTAACATTTTCCCCAAGGTCCATGTGCCAATGCCCATTTGCAGACTGTACATTGTGAGGACAGGCAGTAGCATGACCGCCACAGTGCACCTGTTTCTCCACGACAGAGCTGGAACCCCACAGGACAATGGCGCTCCCAATAGCCACTCACCTTACACTCTGCTGCTCAGACTGGGTGGAACTGCTTCGAAGCCAGGCATTCTTGGCCCTCACTTCCCTCTTCTGAACCACCCTGGAATGGGAGTAGAAAAAGGTGCTCATGGTTTTCCGAGGGCAGTATACCCCACTGTCCCCTTACTTACATGTACCCCAGTGTGCTAAGCATCAGAAAAGTACCTGAGTTGAGCCTGTATGAACTCTATTTCATAGCTGTGGTTGTCGAGAACCACATCATTGTACATGAATGGCCATAGTATCGTGTCTTCATCAGCATTCCATCACTAACACAATATCTGCGGTAGCCTGGCTTTATAAGGCAAAGCAGTCTGTTCGGGTTCACTGGTTATTCAAAGTCCAAGCTCAGTGGATATACCCATTGGTTTGGCCTCTGCAGATGGTACTCCTGTAGGCAGAATCCCATGGTAGCACAGGGTGTCCCATGACAAGAGCACTGACATCATGACAAGAGCACTGACATCTGCCTGTGTTTGTGTGTTCTCAAAGCCATCAGGTATGGGGCCACCACTCTAATGGCCCAATCTGGTTACTCACCAAACTTCCCACTTCTAAACCTCATAAATAGATTAAGCTTCCACTGACTGCCTTGGTACCAACTTTGGGGACCAGGTCCCTGAGTTCAAGGGGACAGATACTCAAACCACAGGTGTGGCAGTGCTATATTCTCAAGCCAGCATAGAAAAGACTTTCTGTAAACAACACTCTCTCCCCCCCCACAAAAAAAGAAAAAAAACTTTTTTGATTGATTAATTGGTTTGGAAGGCAGAGAGACTGAGATGTTCACTCTCTAAATAAATGGTCACTATGCCCTGGCTTAGGCAAGGAAAGCAGGAACTCCATCCGGGGCTCCCACATGGGTGGAAGGGGTCCATCTACATGGGCCACCATCATCTGCTGCCTTTGCAAGGGCATTAACAGGGAGCTGAACAAGAAACACAGCAGCCAGGCTTCAAACTGGAGCTCCTAGTACCCCAAGCCACAACTCAATTCACTGTGCCACAATGCCAGTTCCCTTAAATGACATTCCATGGCTGCAGATCCCTTCCCTGCAGCCTGAGGTCAGCTTGGCTGTTCTCAGCCCAGTATGTTTCCTCTGAGTTTGAGCTTCTTTCCTGGCATAGCAGGGCATCTTCCCCATGGAAATTTCCTTTCAGCTAGCACTCTCCCTCACCCAGGGTTGCCCAGATGTGGGTCCTGTCATGTCATTTCTAGGAGGCCTGAGACAAACAGGGTTGGCCCCATTCCTTTACATTTGTCTCCCAGCCCTGGCTGTGGATCATGGAAATGGTTTCCACCTTTCTGTATGGCATGGCATGTATGAACCCAGAGTGTGTTTTGGAAAGTGCTGTCCCAGTTCATTCTTGAGACACCTCATTAGTTAGGCACCTGTGGTATGCACAGCAGTGGGTGTGGGGAAGAGATGGATCAAGAGGGAACCACCATGTGTGGTAGCGCGTGACTACAGCAGAGGAGGGAATCATGGCTGAGAAGGTAGAGCTGCATGCTGGCAAACGGCTGGAGATAGCAGACAGAAGCCTCGGGTGGACTGCTCAGGGGGCCTGCAGAGAGCCTGTGGACTGGGCTCTGAAGCCTGATTTTCCCCCTTCTCTGCCACCCAACTCTTACCATTTCAGCTTTCTTAGCTACTGTCTCCTCATCCCCCAGCATGACAGCTGTCCCCGTGCTGCCTAATGATACTGATAGGCATGGCGGCTTGCCATGAGCTGCTAGGGAGAGTTGCTACAGTCTGTGCCCCCACAAAGCCAGTGTAGATACCGTGAAGGGCACAAAGGAAATGGAGCCCTAGTCATCTAAAGAGGTGTCTTTGTTGAAGACACAAGGCATCTACCCTTGAAACAAATGTGAACTTGAGAGAAGTTAATGCCACTGAGTCACGAGAGGGCAGCAGGCATTGTAGAAAGGGTTTCCCCAAAGCTGATATAATTCTGTCCTTTGGGTTGATGCCTGATGTTTCCCAAAGGAATGAGAATCCTCATGACGCCATACACCAAAACATAGCGGGTGATTGGATTATGTCACCATGCAGAGAGCTTGGTGTTGAACGTATAGACAAGTGTGTATGAGCCTTAATGGAGTCTAGTGGCTCTGCCCTTTAACCTCTCTGAGCCTCGTCAGCACATCAGATAACCTCTTACCTGTAGAGAGAAAGGCAGACAATCTTTGTGCAGTGGGAGGCAGACTGGAGGTATTCTAACAATGAAGGAGCTTTGCCCAGAAGTGGAGATAGTGGCCCTCCAAAGCCTGACCCCAGGAACTTGGAATCCATTGACGAGGCAACAGAAAGCTAACTGTGGCTCCCGGAGAGAGGGACTGTGATTTAGTGATGTGTTGAGAACCCTGCTGCAGACTGATTTCTCAGGCTGGAACGTGCAGGAGAACCGGCCCTTGAGCACAGCAGGCACCAGGGCATGTGCTCAGTGGACTCAGTGCTGCCCTTCACTGTGCACGGTCCTGCTACAAAGCTTGCATGCCAACCTCCCTGCATGCACATTTGCTGGGGATCCTGTATCCTCTCACACAGGAGTCTTGAGTTGTGGAAGGCTCAGGATGGGGAAGGCACCAGTCTTACATATAGCAGCAGCAACAGCAGCAGGACCCTGTGACCACTGGGCTGTGCCATAGGGGTACATGCCTCTTCCGGTGTGTACATGTGAGAGGCACCTTCAGCTCGCATCCCTGCTTAACAGTCCTGGGTGCCCAGGGCAGCAGAGGCACAGCTGAGGGCACTGCCAGTGCTTAGTGAGAGAAGATGGGAGGCAGATGAACTCAGGAGTCACCCATTTTGCCATCAAAGCCCTTTGCAGGCATTGTGAGGCAGGTGAGGACTCCCACCATCCCAGCATTCACAAGAAGATGCCTGGAGTCTACTCTTCTGCCTTCTCTGCCTCAGCAGGGCATCCACCACCACAGCCTGTGCCCGGCAGGTAACCTCCACAGACTGCCGTTCTTCCCTTTCTCTGGAGCAGGCAATCGAAAGCAAGGTCACAATGCACCTTAAAACTCAGGGCTGTGAGGAAGATCTTTCTGTTGTTTGGCCTTTTCTTCAGGAGCCCAGGTTCTTTCAGTGGCATAAAAACAGAGACTGGTACTGTGGCATGGCTGGTTAGACTGCCACCTGCAATGCCAGCATCCCATATGGGCACCTGTTAGAGTTCTGGCTGCGCCTCTTCGGATCCAGCTCCCTGCTTATGAACCTGGGAAAGCATCCAAAGATGGCTCAAGTTCTTGGGCCTCTGTACCAGCATGGCGGACCCAGCTGAAGCCCCTGGCTTCAGCCCAGCCCAACCCTGGCTATTGCAACTATCTGGGCATTGAGGCAGCAGATAAAAGATTCTCTTTCTCTCTCCCCCTCCTCTCTCTCCACCCCCAATCTCTATTTGTTTCTGTCCTCTCTTTCTGTAACTCTGCCTTTTGAAGGACTACATCCTAAACAAAAAAAAAGAAAAAAGAAAAAAGAAAGAAAGAAAGAAAGAAAGAAAGAAAGAAAGAAAGAAAGAAAGAAAGAAAGAAAGAAAGAAAGAAAGAAAGAAAGAAAGAAAGAAAGAGTAAGTAAGTAAGTTAGTTAGTTAAGCCCAGGACCCCAGCTGTGCCCATGTTTCAGAGTGCGGCTCCTGCATCCCCATAGCCCCAGGAGAAGGGCCTCAGGTTCTTATTCTGGCCTCTGAAATCTTGGCCCTCCAAGACCCTGGACACTCAAGCTGCTGTCTTCTCTAGGGTGTCCCCTGTCCAGGCCACTCACCAGGACATCCACAGAGCTAGCTCTGGTGGCCTGCCCCCATACTCTGTGACCACTGCCTCTGGCCCTATCTCATCTCCCTGTTTCCTTGAACTATGGCCCAGACTCTTGCAGACTCTGCCAGAACTCTTGGGTCTCAGGCACAGCCCTCTGCTTGCCTCTCTCAGATCCTTGCATCTGATGATTAGTCACACAGCGCCGGGTTCTGCTATGGACCGCTTTGCAGAAGTCACTGTTGAAACCCACATCTTGATACCTACAGGGAAGTTTTGGAGATTTATGTTCAATTTGTTCTCCCACCATGAGACCTGTTTTACTCTATATGTCAACCAAATATGAAATACAAAGTTAAGCAGTGTCTTCTTATTCCAGGCCCTAGTATGCATGGAATCCATCCAATCAGAAAGTGAAGACAACAGAGAAGGAAAATGGATCATCTGTGTCACTCATAACTCTTTCCTTATTTCATTAATGATCATACGTTGAAATTACCCTGGCTGAAGGTCTATACTTCCTTCCTGTTAAGAGTCCTTATGCTAAGTGGCTGCCACTTAAAACACTTAACACTGGTACTCCCATATGAGTACCAGTTCAAATCCTTCCTGCTCTGTATTCCATCCAGCTCCCTAGTGAAGAGCCTGGGAAAACCAGGAAAGATGGTCCAAGTAAGTTGGGCCCCTGCCACCCACGTGGGAGACCAGATGAAGTCCCACAGGTTCCCATGGCTTCCACCTGGCTGAGCCATGGCTGCTCTGGGCATTTGGGGGTATGAACCAATGGTTGGAAGGTCTCTTTCCACTGTGTGTATGTCCTATATCTTTATAACTCTTTCAAATAAATAAATGAATCTTTTTTAAGAGAATCACAGTGCTGGATAAATGAGCTTTTATTAGGGTTAGCATTATTAAGGTTAGCTATTATTGGTCCTTAATCTTTTTGGAGACATACATCCATGGAAATCCAGCTGAATATTTTGGCCTTTCCCTAGAAAACTGCACCTGCACAGCATTTTCCATTCTATTCAGGCCACTCCCTAACCCCTGGAGCTAGTCTATGGGCAGAGTATAAAACCTGTGGAGTCCACAACTTTCTCTAAGTTAGCACAACTTAGACATGGAAAGATTTCCATCATTGCCTGCAAGTCTGAAACATTCCTGCTAAAGTGTGATAGAAGCAGATGAAGGAAGGATTAATTGTTCTGGCTGCCTCTCACAGGTCCCATAGAAGGAGAAGTTGCAGACTGATTTCACCATTAAGGAACTACACCCTCCTTGCCCATGCCCCATAAACTCTGCATTAATTCTTTAGGATTGTAAGTTCAGCTTAGTCCCCTGATTGCATACCTGGAACCTCCAAGCTCTACCCAGTTAGGTTTCATAGACTCTCAGGTCTAGCCAGGTATCATAAGCATCAGTAGTGTGTGTTGTGGAACACACAAAAAGTGCAGGGACATAGCATTGAGACATAATGCTGTCCACTTATTTTTCCAGATGAATGTCAGGCAGCTGCTCTGACATCTGGGTGTCATGATCCAGTATCATCGCACAGGTCCTGAGTGCCACCCAAGGTCTGCCACATGCACACCTACTGCTCCCACTTTCCTGTTGCTTCCTCAGAGGACACACCAGCCGCCCAGCCCCTTTTCCGTGAGCCCATGATGACACACTGTTTCATCCCTCCCTGCTCTTCTGCTTCTAGGCCGAGCCAGCATCCTCTAACAAGTGGCAACTGGATAAGTGGCTCAACAAAGTTAATTCCCACAAGCCTGCCATACTGGTCCAGAACGAAAGCCATGGACCCGAGAGCGGCCAGTACTACCCCCCGGTGAAAGACGAGGTGCAGGACTGTGGGAAGCTCCCAGATGTGTGCCCAGCCAGTCTGAGAGAGAAGGAGATCAAGAGCACCTGCAAGGAGGAGCAGAGGCCGAGGACAGCCAACAAGGCGCCTGGGAACAAAGGAGTCAAACAGAAGTCCCCTCCAGCAGCTGCAGCAGCAGCCGTGACCGTGACTGCAGCTGCCCCACCGCCAGCAGCTCCCAGCACCCCAGTGGACGGCACATCAGCACCCACCCGCAGATCCACGGGCAAGAAACCCACACGGCGCACAGAGAGGACCTCAGCTGGAGAGAGCACAAACTGCCACCGCCCCGAGGAGCCCACAGCTGTAGACTCGCTGGGGACAAGCTTGGTGGTGCCCCCAGAGTCTACCAAAGCCAGGCCCTGCGGCAACAGCAGAACAGGCCACCGTAAGGAACCACGCTCCTCGGTGACCTTCGAGAAGAGGCGCACGCGGGGGCTGAGCAGGATCATCCCCAAATCCAAGGAGTTCATTGAGACAGAATCGTCCTCTTCATCCTCCTCCTCTGACTCGGACCTGGAATCAGAGCAGGAGGAGTACCCTCTGTCCAAAGTGCAGACTGTGGCCACCTCCTCCTCCTCCTCTTCCTCCTCCTCCACTTCCTCCTCATCCTCCTCCTCCTCTTCATCCTCTTCCTCCTCTTCCTCTTCTTCTTCCTGCTCATCCTCCTCTGCAAGTGACCAGAGGCTAAAGGAAGCAGCCAACAGCATCAGTGCCGGTGGTGGAGCCCGGGCCCCTGTGGGCTCCATTAACGCCAGGACTACCAGTGACATCGCCAAGGAGCTGGAGGAACAGTTCTACACGCTGGTCCCCTTTGGCCGCAATGAACTGCTGTCCCCCTTGAAGGATACTGATGAGGTCAGGTCTCTCTGGGTCAAAATTGACCTGACCCTCCTGTCCAGGATTCCAGAGCACCTGCCCCAGGAGCCAGGAATCTTGAATGCCCCTGCAGCCAAGGACCCAGAGAGCACGCTGCCAGCATTGGACACACCCCCTGAAAAGACTCTGCCAAAATCCAAGAGGAAACGCAAGGTGGGTCCCGGGCTGCAGGTATGGCCCAGATAGGCTGTGTGTCTTACGAGTCTTTACTTAAACAGTTGTACACTGTAGTACTGTATATGTGCCCAATACTTTTATAGGTCAGGGAGGATGCATAAAGAAGGACTTACTACTATTTTGTAGCTATAGCCATTTAAGCGGCCCCCTTGCATATCACAGTCAGTGTCTGGGGAGTTACTGCTGCTTGTTTGTGTACGCAGACTGCTTGTTAGGCCTTTGAGAAGGTGTGACACCTGGACAAGCCCAGTGTTTGGCTGTACAGGACTGGGCAATGCTGATGAGAAGATTCTGCATGCTCCCTAAGAAATGAGTGGCCTCCCAGGTGGAAGATAAAGATGGATCCCGGATACATCAGAGCCAGCTGCACTGATCAGGGAGGACTTGCTGGTACTGCAGACAGGAATCTGAGAAAGAGGGGCATTCAAGTAGGCACCAGGAGAGACAAACAGGACAGATCTGAGAGGTGTGGGGTGTGGCAGAAGCCAAACACTCAGTCAACTTCAAAGGGATTTGAGTAAGTGAGGACCTGTGGCATCTCTTTCTGTGCCCTGTGTCTTCCAAAGGACCATGATGAGAAACACAACAGGTGGCTAGCCAGGGTCCAGTGTTCTCATGCAGACAACCACTACAGGTTGGTCATTAATAGCAGCAGCTGGGGTGGTCGCCTGGCACCATGGATGCCTGCATGCCTCACACCAGGAATTCAGCCCCCAGCTCTGCTCCCAGTTCCAGCTTCCTGTCACTGCGCACCCTGGGAGGCAGCAGTTAATGACTGAAGTAGTTGTCCTCTGCCTGCTCTGTGGGAATCCCACATTGAGTTCCTGGCTGCTGGCTTCAGGTCAGCCCAGGCCCAGCAGTCTGGGCACTGGAGGAGCCCATCAGCAGGTGATGAGCATCTGCGAGGGGGGTGGCCTTTCAAATAATTTTTTTTAAGACTTTGAAAAAAACAGCAACAGTTAACATATATATATCTCCGGGAAGAATGCTCAGTTATGAAACACTTTGCGTTAAATTATTTTAGTTCTTTTACAAGGCAAATAAGGTCTTCAGAAAGTTCATGGAAGCTACACATGATAAAAAAAAAAAACCTACATTTTTAAAAATGTATGCTAACAATTATGTATTGTTTCATTTGGTTTCATTTTTTTCTCTGAATGAGGTGCCCTGATGCTGCTGTCAGACACATTTTAAAGGTGAGGAAGCTGAAGCTAAGACAGCCTAAAGCGACTAGCCCGTTGCTGTAGGAGTCAGGGTCAGGGCCAGGTGCAGGCAGCCAGGCTGTGTGATGGCAAACGCTGACACAAAAGTCAGCCTGTGCTTTCAGCAGTAGTTTCCTCAGTGCAGCCTGGTCTGCGAATAGGAGTGTTAAAACTGGACACATGCGTTTCCCACCTGTTTCAATCCCCTGGTTGAGAGGACAGGATCAAGGTTTGCTGCCTTTCCCTGGGAGAGATGAAGGGATGGCTTGCTTTGCACATGTGCATAGAGAAGCCATACAGTCTCCTCCCTCTTAACAACAGGGCATCCTGCAGGGAACTTTATCCCAAAGCAGGTACTTCTTGCCTCAATAGCATTAGAGAATATTTCCCTGTGAGGTAAGCTTTGAACTCCTTGCACAAAAGTTCAACAAATAAAAATGTTTTCAGAAGGTGGCGTCTTGCCTCTCCTTTTGATCCATGTGCAGTCTTCCCATGAGCCCCTAAAAGCACTAACCTGCAGGAGCCTGCAAAGGGCTATTCCCCTGTGGCCCTCAGAGTCCTCACATATTGCTAGAAATGTCTGTACCACCCGGATGACCCACCCTCAGATGCCCTCCTGGCCTTCTACCTCCTTCAGGGCCAGCTTCAGGAGCCACCTCTAAGCCTTCCTGTGACACAGTGGCCTTGAAAGTGAATACTGATGCTGCCACCTCAGAGTTACTCATTTGCTCTTTGAATGTGGGTTTCCTAAGGGAGACAGCCCATGGAGTCCCTCCTCCTGCCTGGTGCCACAGGATGGGTTCTGTTTACTTCTGGCACCTAGAGCCCCAAGCAGCCTCCCTCACCCTGTCTCAACGCTGGGACCCCTACAGCCTGTAGCCTAAGTACAGACACAGAAGGGGTTGGGTTCAGGGACCCTGTCTCACACAGCCCCAAGCTGTGTCTGCAATGAGTGTTTTTTCACAGTGCGCTAGGGTCACCTGGTGCCTGCAGGTTGGGCAGGAGTAGGTCATGGAAGGGAAGATGCCAGCATGGTTGCGCAGATCCAGCCCCACAGGTGGGTGCTGTGAATGGGAAGAGGGTAACCAGGGGCATTGAGCCAGAGGTGTGTGCTGGTCCCAGGGCAGCCCCACCACTTGGTAAGCTATATTTGGCTCCCAGGTACCCGAGACAGTGTAAAATCAGCAAATAAGAACCACTGCGTGGAAAGGAACACGTGTCCCATTGGAGCACTTCATAACATCATTTTCCAGCATTCTCACTTCACACGAGACCCTAAAAGTTATGCCCACAGGCCTAGCCTGCTGGGTGACCTCTGAAGTGGCCTTGCTGGCTCAGAATTTGGGCTTCTCTCTGTAAAATCTGGACATGTGTGCAGCAGCATCGATGGGCTCACACTGTGTGTTCGCACAGTGCAGCTTAGCACCGTGTGCTAGCTCATTCCCTCCCAACCCCTCCTTTGTGCTCTTTCCCTCCAGACACTCGGCTGTCCTCATTATCTGTCAGTGCCCCATTACTGCTGAATCAAGCAGTCAATGATTTGCAGTGAGTGTGAATATTACCTCTGGGATTGATGAGGTTGGGATTGATGAGCCAATGATGGAAATTGATGAGAGTACTTTTAAGAAGTTTGTGGATGATTGAATTAAAAGATAATTGTGTTTGCATGCTAAAAATTCTGAGCTCCATCCTTTTTCCTAATATGCATTCTGCATGAATTTTTTTGAGGGCCCCTTTATATAGATATACAGAAATATAAGTATATATAAGAAATATAGAAAGAAACATATCAGTGTATATAAGAAATATGCAGACAGCGATAAACATTGGAAAGCTTATAAATAGATTGGGAATACATATATGTACACAGACATTTAAGGAAGAAACAAACACATAGAATCTCTATATTTTTGTAGTTATATTTGTGTCTGTTTGTATTTGCACTTGGGAAACCTCACTTCTGGCATGCCTGACAACCCAGCTCTACTCATAAAGTAAAGTGACTCATCACTGGGCACAGACATAAGAAAAACAAACAAGGAGCTTTTTGCTAGTGCTGATTGCTCAGTATCTCTTGGCGTTAAGACCCCAGTGTTGGGTGCTGGAGATGGGACCTGGAAGATGGGGCTGTGTGTGGTGCTGGGTCTCAGCCTCTTTGAGACCCAGAGTTAAGGCTGGAGGATTTGAAGATTTGATTGGACCCTCTTGGAGGGTGCAGGGCCAGAGTGAGCATCAGGGATGCCCTGTGACAAAGGCCGTGTGGTCTACTCTCAACCACAGAGAGAAGGTCACACTTGGCTTTCTTTGGTGCTAATGCTTGTCTCCTGAAAAGCATCACAGTTGCTTCCAGGCTTCCTGCTCTCTCTCCCCACAGTGATGCTTTTGCTGGGTCCTTTAGCATGGCACCCTGACACGCAACTAAAGTAGAACACAGTCCATGGCAATAAGAACCAGTCCATGTCCTGTTCCATAAGCAGGTGCATTCAGGATTCTTAAGCTGTGAACTAAGAGGACAACCTCCATCTGCCCTCTGCAGAAGACATGTATTTCAAAGCAGGGTGGTCCTGGCTTATCACCATCCTCATAGCATTAAGCCCAAGAGATACCAAGCTCAGTCATGTTGAAGTTACACTGTGTTATCCAAAGTGCTGCCTTACCATTTTTGATCCTGATGGTGTGGCTTTCCTCTCAGTAAGTCATCGATTGTAGATCCAACAGGTTACTCCTGTGTTGGTGTCAAACTGGCTGGGAAGCCACTCCAGGCCACTGCTGCTCAAGCTACTCTCAGAGAAGCCTTTGTCTCTGGGGGTCAGTGCCTGGGAGCCCCTGCTGGCCCACTGGGATCCAGAGCTGACTGGTACTTGCTCGTTCTCGTGCAGTGTGACAACGAAGACGACTATCGGGAGGCAAAGAGAGCCCAGGGAGACAAAGAGAGCTCCTCGCGACTGAGTGCCTCCACCAGTGCTGCTCTGTCTGCAAACCACTGCGCCATGAACATCAACAGGTACATGTGCTCTCTTGGGGTGGAGGGGTGGGCATAGAAAAGCAGCAGGGGTCTGTAGATCTGAAAATCACCTGTCGTGGTTGGGGAGGAAAAGGCAGAGAGGCAGAGAAAGTGCTTATCCACTGGTTCACTTGCAGACAGCTACAACGGCTGAAGCAGAGAGCCAGGAGCTCAACCCAGGTCTCCCACACTGCTGGCAGGAACCCGGTTGCAGGAGGCATCACCACTGCCCCCCAGGGTTTGCATTGGCAGGAAGCTGCAGGCAGGCATGGGAGCAGAATGCAGACTCCGCTACTCTGATGGGGGCCGCAGGCATTGTCTTAACCCAGAAGTCCAATTGCACGCCTAAGGTGTCGGAGTTTTGAGTACCTGCTCTGATCAGGGTGTCCAGGCTTGCATCCCTGAGTTTAACTTAAGGTTTAGAATTATGACTGGATCAGACAGCCCTTGGAGGTGCTTGTTGATAACCAAACACTAATTTTTACTTGTGCACAATTCAGCATTCTTCAAGGAGACCCCTGCCCCCTGAAAACTTAGTAACTGATTTTTTTTCAAAGCAGAGGATTTTTGTGTTTTGTTTTTGAGATTTTTAATTTTATGGATATGAAAGGCAAAGTGAAATAATAAGAGGGAAAGAAAGGGAGTACTCTTGCATCTGCTGATTTATCCCCCAAATGGCCACAGCAGTGAGGGATGGGCTAGGCCAATGCGAGGAGCCTGGGAGCCTCTTACACGTGGGAGAATGTGGGTGGACAGAACCAAGCACCTGGACCAGCTCATACTGTTTTCCAGGTTCATTAGCAGGTTACTAAATGGGAAGGGGAGAAGCCAGGTTACAGCCAGTGCTCCAGTTTGGGATGGCAGCACTGCAAGCAACACTGTGCTGCAATGCCAGACCCTCCTCAAGCTAGTATTAATGATGGCTGACAATTATGTAAGAACTTTAAGCTTCTTTTAAGGCTGTAGAAAGACACCATTGCAGTAGAGTCTGCAGCTCCTGTATACAGACTCAGACAGTGGCACAGGACAGGGTGTGTGCTTTCATTGGGAAGTGGCCACCCAGAGTCCTTGCTGAAGGGCTTCCAGCAGGTAACACCTGTGCACTGAATCCCTGTATAAAAAGTGGCAGTCTGGCGGGCAGGCTCATGGGTGTGAATGGCGTATCGCCTGTCGCAGAAGCTCTTCCCCTTTGCAGATCCCATAGCATTGAACCCACGATTCTTCTTCCTGTGTATGTAGAGTTTTTCAAGGGAAGATGAGTTTCAATGCAGCACATAAATGTGGATACGCATGTGCACACACACACAAAGAGTGAACTGAAAGGTTCCAAGAAGGCGTAGGGTAGGTGTGAGATTCACACACATGCAGGCCTGCTGCACTGTTCGGATCACCTGAAACACACCATGGGTCTGCTCAGGTGGGAGGGCCACACAGTCACAGCATCCTCTGATGTGGGAACATCTGACTCCAGAACACTCCTTAAATGTGAGAGGTGGTTCCATGATGAGAGGGTTTTAAAAAGTCTGTGGGGACCAGCGTTGTGATGCAGCGGGGTAAGCTCCTCCTTGGAACATGCGCATCCCTTACCTAAACGCCGAGCTCCCTGCTAACGCATCCTGGTGGGGAGCAGATGGCCCAAGTGCTGGCGCCCCTGCCAGTCACCTAGATAGAATTCCTTTCTCCTGGCTTCAGCTGGGCCATCCTCAGCCACTGCAGCCATTTGGGGAGTAAATTGGCAAATGCAAGGGTTTCTCTCTCTCTCCTTTCTGTCATTCTGCCTTTCAGATAAATAAATCTTTCCTGAAAATGTATGGAAAATTGAACGAAAAGACTAGTTTTAATGCAAAACAAAATATGTGGATTCCAATTTTTGGTGCTAATATAACATTCCTATCCTCTAATTCTGTTTTTTCCCTGTACCTTTTGAAGTATCCACCCTAAATGCTGCTGCATTGATGCATTTAATAGCAACATCTCCAGCCCATCTAGTGATCACTATAATTTCTAAGCAATGATGAATACTTGATGATGTCCCTAATGTCCTTAATATAGCTTGAAAAGAGCTGTGATTTCTACTGGTGACACAAGCACAGGCATTGCTAATACTGCCCATTCCTCTGATTTCCTGCCTCCACTCCTAACTGAAGGAAATGTTCTATCTCAGTGAGAGGTGAGAATGAGTTGGAATGTTTTCCATCCAAGTCTCTGGATCCCAGGTTAAAAGCTCTGGATCAAGAGCCTTTGCCTGGCTGAGCCTCACAACTCGGTGCATATGAGCATGCTTGGTGTTCAAGCTTGTTTGTTCCCCATCAGCAAAGCCATGACTACTGCCAGGTACTTCCGTTGCAATGACACACTCCCAGAGACAAGGTGGCTGCTCATCCCACAGAGGAGATCCATGCAGGGTTGGTTTGGGAAGCTGAAGGCACACACCCACCAGTCATCAGGAAAGCCCAGTCACATCTCCACAACGGTGTTTGATGGCATGATCTAGCTTCCTATACGCAGTAAAACTCATGGAGTACGTAGAACAGGAGACTTATAAACACGACTGGTTTTCCTACTTAGATTTCGAGGAACGATTGCACTCAGCTATTCACATCCATTTTCATGCTCCTTTTCTTCTCCAAAACTCGGCAAACCACTTTGGTGTCACCCAGATTGTTTTCTGTCTTACAGCTTCTTACTTTTTTCTGACCTGCTAGACCTAAACATGGTCCTTTAGGAACCAGAAATTCTGTCTGTACATGTTATCTGTCTCTATCTACATTTTATTTGTCTCCACATGCTATCCATTTGCCCTGCTACCAAAACCCTTGGTTTTGTCATTTGTTCTGGAGTGCTGTGTCTGTAATTTCTTGTCTGCGAACACCAACTAGGGAAATTGCTTTTGGAAGTGACTTTAATGACTTGTTTGGGATAGTTGCCATCTGCAATTAAGAGATCAGAACCCTAGAAACAATAACAAAATCTTTGTTAAATGGCTTTACCTTCTTCAATGAACTCTTTAAGGAGCCTAAAATAGCAGTTGATTGAGTTTATGCGGGGGAAGGTGCTAGCTTAAAATATACTTTTCATTCTCAAAGAAACCTAATGAAGAGGCCTTAGCGATGCAACGTGCACATCACACAGGCTCACACTGCACCGGCTTCCTCTTTGATGCTTTGTTTAGGGGAACATGCCATTCGAGCACAAACTGTAGTTTTGAAGATATCATAAGGAGCAGGCACCAGACATTGTTTTATTGGCCGCTTTTGTGTTCTCTGCTCATTCTGATCAGCGGCTGGTTAAATCAGACACTCAGCAGATGACAGTTGGCTTCAAGCTTTGCAGGTCTTTCTGTGACTCTGTCGTTGAGAGCTGGAGCTCGGAAGCTGGAGGAGCTCCCTTTAGAGACAGACGACCTGTTTATCACTGGGGCTTGACTTTCCTAATCACTGCTGGAACATTTGTTAGGAGAGAAGCTGCGTGTTGGGCATTTTGAGGTCTTGGGGATGAAAAGCTCACAAAATGAAAGATATTTTGATCCTTCATCATTTGCTCTGGCACTAACTCCAAAATTACTCTTCATCCTGATGGGAGGAACCAAGAAAGCAGTGAGTGATATTTGCTGATTATTTGTTACTGTCTCAATGCCATAAAGCTTGTTTCCTGGTACAGTAATTCCCAAGAGACATCTCCCTGCTGGCAGGTCTGCGGTGGGAAATCTGAATCCTATAAAACGCAACCTTCAGCTCTACCAACTGTGTGACATTCCTTCACTGTCATTTCCTTTTTCAGCTTGGCCATACCAATTCATAAAAATGAGAAAATGCTCCGGTCGCCCATCTCACCTGTCTCCGATGCATCAAAACACAAATATACCAGTGAGGACTTGACCTCCTCCGGCCGCCCACATGGCAACAGCATGCTCACGTCCACCTCTTCCAACAAGAAGCCCAAGGCTGACAGCCAGCTCCAGTCGCATGCCGCAGACCTCACGGTTTGTATCTGTCCCGGTCAGGATCCAGAGGAAATTGCACACGCTCCCTTAGTCTGTCACTAGCCAGTTGCATATGCTCCCTTAGTCTTTACCTGGTTTGGAAAGGAGTAGGGAAGTCGGAGGGTTCAGATGGAAGTATGTGCACTGTACTGCTGCAGACAGGCCAGGCATGCTGCCACTGCCCCTGTCGAGGGCCAGCATGGTGGTGGAGAAGAACAAACACAGGGAAAGTTGCACAGGTGCCAGCAGGCTAGGGCACTTCAGGACACAGCTTCTCGTCACCATTTGGCAGGTACAGACTCAGGCTCAGGGAGAGGAAGTGACTGGGCCCCAGATCACAGGGCAGATAAGGCAAGAGGCAGGTGAACCCCTGCTGCTCCCCAGAGGAGGCCTGCAGTCACCCTGCCAGTCAGACACCTGGAAAAAGAGCAGTAGCGGTGAGGGTGCCACAAGGGCAGGGCAGGTGTCCTGTAGATTTGGGTGTGCAGTCTCAGTGCCTGATTTGTCTCTGTCCTGGGCTAAGGGAGTTTTCCTAGTAGAGAGTTGATTTGTTCGGAATGCTTTGCCCTGGGATGGTGTCGCTTAGCTCTCTGGTCTTTTCCAAAAGACTTTGGAGGCAGAAGGGGCTTTGATTGCCCACCCTCTTGGAGGAGGGAGTTCTTCATTTTCAGTGTTTATGAGATGAGGGGTGAGGCAGCCTGTGGAGGCCCTATGTGGGACCTCAGATGGGAGTCAGACCACCCAAACCAGCCAGGGGCTCTGGGAGGCCGGGGGGGGGGGGGGGCGGAATGCCACAGGGCATTTCAATAAGTTCCTGGCAGGAATTCACAGATTGGTGGTGGTGGTATTGAAGTTTTGAAAGTCATGTGTATTTGTAGGAGTTTATAAAGATGTGAGAAGAAGCAGAATTTCACATATCACCTAATGAATTAAACAGGTGAAAAACTGAGTGGGCACGCCTATGAGAGCCTAAACCTTACCAAATCTTCAGGAAGTTAACCTTCTAAACCCACATTCAGTAGTCATTATTTTTATCCTCAGGATTAGAGCTAGATAGGTGTGTGTTATTTCCAATAAAAATTAAAAAGGTCCCAAGTTTGAGCCATCCACCAGGGACTGCTGACTCCTGGTGTCAACGCTAAAAAAGGTAAATAGCAGTAATGCAGAATGGTTTAGGCAAAACAGTCACAGGCAGAGGAGAGAGCATGTGCAGGTTCTTCGGGAAGAACTGCTGCTGGCCCAGAGCAGGTGTCAGACATTCAGATTTACCCTGGACCTGTGATATCTAAAACTCTCAGAGCCAGGGGGGGCGGGGAGGCCACGTGCCTGCCCTCATGTCTTCATCAGTGGGACTGTTTGGTGTTGAGCCAGTTGCTGGGTGTGTCTGATCTGTGAGAGCCAGGCTAGGGAGCCTTCCTCTCAAGTGTTGTTTGGTGGATAGCACAAGATGCCTCAGATTATACCTTGGAGATACAGGTGCAAGCTGAACATCTGAGAATCCAAAATTTCTTCCTTAGGAACCTAGGGCCCCCCAGGTGGAAAATTCCACTTCTAACCACATGTGGTAGGTCCCAGTCAAAATGAACATGTGCTAGAATTATTGTATAAGCTTGATTTTAGGCTGTGACTATAGGTATTTCTGAACAGTGGATGAATGTCATGTCTTGACCTGGGTCCCATTCCCCAGTTGTCTGGTCCTGTGTATCCAAGTGGTCTGTAACCCAGAAGAATCCAAAATCTGAAATACCCCTAGTCTTGAGCATTTAGGAGAAGCAGGACTCAACCTGCATGAGGATTTCTTTGAATGAAACCAAATTCACCATTAATTCTAATACAGGGATCCTCTATAGAACAAAAGCTATGCCATTTAATGGGCTGCTTTTGCAGCCAGATGACCAGTTTCTCAAAGGCATGTGTTATTTTTGTTCAGAAAGCAGCTCACAGCTCTGAAAACATCCTCCTCCACAACAAGGCACGGCCGCAGACGGAGCCTTGGTCCCCAGGATCTAACGGCCACAGAGAATGCAAGAGGCAGAAGCTCATCTTCGATGATATGTAAGTTCAGGTTCTTTCTTCCAATTGTGAGGGGCAAGAGAAAACACAGCTGCTGTAGGTAGGAGCACCATCTGTATATCTGATGGCTGGCATGGCCATTTTCTGTCATGGAACTGGGTCATTTAAATGTCCCTCTCCAAGGAAATGGGAGCCTTAGCTGGGAAATGCATTCCGTGGTTCCTGCTGGGGGTTGTGAACAGACAGAATGGCAAGTGCTAATGGGTTTGGCATTTGGGATGTTGGGAAGCTGATAATATTGGACGGGGGCAGTGATAGGCCTTTCACACAAGAGATCACTGCTTGGGACCCCACATCTTGTATGAGGGTTCCTGGTTTGTCGCAGCTACTCCGCTTTCAATCCAGTTGAGCTTCCAGCTAATGCATGCCCCAGTTGACAGCAGGTAATGGCTCAAGTACTGTAATTCCTGTCGCCCACCCAGGAGACCAGATAGAGTTCCTGACTCATGATTCAGCCCTGACTGTTGTGTAGATTAGGGGAGTGAACCAGCAGATGAAAGATCTCTCTCCATCTGTCTTTCTGATTTTTAAATACACTGATTCTTTTAAAGTAGAAAAAGAAAGCTCATAACCTGAATGCAAAGAGCCTCAATGAATCTTGGATTCTTGGTTTGGGCTGCTTGGCAGCCTTCCACTGCCCAAAAGAGAAGCCTTTGTGGCTTTTTGTATCATAATAAGTGGAGAATAGCAGTGATTACCTCCTGAAAGGTTTTTACCTTCAAAATGAGATCTCGTATAACAATGTGGTTCTTCCATGGGAGTCACCTTTGACCCAGTCCCAATGAGGAAGCCTGCAGGAGGAACCAGAAAAGAAGCTGTATACAACACCACCATGGAATGCTGGAAAAGGGTGATAAGCTGAGGCTCAAATGATTAGAGTTTGGGGGTGGGTGAGCAGAAGCGGTCAAGGAGCAATGAGGATGGCAAAAGGTGGGATTGCTAGAGTTCAGATTGGCTGCTGTTTCAACTCAAGCTGTCCAGAGAGCATCCTGTGGGAAGTGCTGTGGGGGGGAGCGTTTCCACCTCTGGTGGCCTATAGCCTGGCCACTGCCCAGGAGCCACACCCCTAAACACTGACCACTGGAAAAGCTAGATGATACAATGGTTTTAAAGCTCTCCAGTTCCAGCTTTCTTATCCGAGAGTGTGTAAATCAGTTTATGGGAACTTGGAATTAGCAGGTGTTTTAGTTGAGTACAAAACAGTGTGAAATGCCCATGCGTGGTTTTGGTCATGATACTCGTGGGAAGACTTCTGTGATAGCTGTGCTCTGCCATGCCCCCCGTCTCTCTGATGACAGCAGAGGTGAAAGCCTTGCAGGAGTATTCACTGTCATTCCAACGTCCTCCTGTTTCCTCACTTCCCTTCCTGGGCTCCCCCAAGTGCAGTACCTCACAGTTCCTCCCTCCATCCACCCGTCTGCCATCAGCACCTGCAGACTGCCCTGGCAAGGGCAAGCACCCCAGGTGTGCTTCTGTGTCATCCTTGTGTCAGCTCTCACTCAGAGTTAGGTCCTCCTTTCAGCACAAGTTTGCAGCCATTAAAGCCACAATACTAGATGCAGCAAGGAGGTCCTTTATTGCAGCAGGGTAAGGAACGGGAGCAGGGGTGGAGGAGAGAGACCAGAAAGGCAGATAATTCCTGCCATGGTGGTAGGGAGAGGCTGCAGGGAACGGTAAGAGGCAAGACAAAGGAGGACAAGGGAATGACTGTGGGAGTGGCTGGGTGGGGAAGCCACAGGAGGAAAAAGGAGGGCCCTGAGGAAGGAAGAGGACGTGGATGGGAGGGTGGCCAAGAGGGGTTGGTGGATGGAGGGAGCTGCAGGGGATTGGTAGGTGGGTGGGGATCAGGGCAAGGATCGTGAGGGATTGGTGGGTGGAGGTGTCAGGTACAGCACCATGAGGCTTCAGCAGATTGGTTGGGCGGTGGCCTTATGAGGTTATAGCAGATTGGTATAAAAATTCCCAGAACATGATATATCAAAAGGCAGACCAAAGTACATCTATGCAGAATAAAACAGCATGCAAGATGTTTTCCAGCGTATGGACCAGAGAGCTAAGTGGAAAGCAGCAACAGCTCCAGGGGTATGCTCTTATCTGCGGTTGGCCATTCACAGACAGACAGGTTTCAGAGTGTGCTGGGGGTGGGGCTGACATCCTTGTGTTGCCAGCTGTTTCAGTGAAGTGCCTGTTACCTTTTGTGTCCCCCCCCATTAGCAATCTACATAATTTTTTTTCTGTCCAATAACTATAATAAAGTTGTTTCTCCTTGTATGGATATAGAGAAAATACAATGTGGAAAGCGCTCTTACCCATCGTATGGAGAGAGAGCTGCTTTCCAGTGGCCATGTGTCCTTGTGGATTTGAAATCCTTAACAGTAACAACTAGGAGAGTCACACAACCGCTGTGCTAAGGAAGTGGTGGGAAGATGCTGCAAGTTAAACTGCCGGAGTGGGTGTGGGTGCTTCCTTTATGCAAGAACACGAAGCAACCCTCCTGAATTGCTGTGCCATGCCTGCCAGCCTCAGTTGGTGTATTCTGAGCCCTGACTACATGCAGTAGGGCGAAGGGGCCAGAGCTAGGATGCCAAAGATAATTTACAATCAGCTGCTGTAAGGCAGAAAAAGGCCCATGGCTGATGGCCCAGAGTAAGTTCCATGGGATGGAATTCATCCACCGTCCTCCACCGCTCCTCCAGCTCACCCAGCAACAGCATTCTGTCAGAGGAGAATGCAGGGGCCCCGTACCCCCTTCACGTCTCATTCAGAGTGTAAAGAGGCAGTGGAATTTGCCGAGAGGCCACTGGTGGAAGACGACCAGATAATTAGCGCCCGAGTAATTTAGATTTGATGGAAGTCTGGTGACAGTGATCCAACAAGTAACAGATGCCATCCTGTCATTTAATTTTTAAAATGGCATCTTGTTGGTGTGGGTCTTTTTCTTAGTAAATCCATCTTTTTGTATTATAAATACTCTTAGTGGTTCAGTAAACACAACAGCTAAATCCAGTGGGTGCTCAAACAAGTGCTGAATGAGTCCAGCTGAATTATAAATAGCATTCCCTGGGTGGGCTGCCTGCAAGTTTTTTCTTTCTTTTTGCTGGAAGGGCAAGGAGTCTGCCAGCAGAGGAATTTAAATCGGTCAGCTTCCCAACCTCTGTGTCTGACCTAAGCAGGACCCCTGTGTGCCTATGGGCTGCGGGTGAATGGAAAGGGAATAGCAGGCATTTTAACAATGTCATCCAGGCCAGCTTGGGCTTGGTCAGTTACAGACTTAGACTGGTGGCTGTGCGACTGCACCCACTCCCCCTGACATTTAGCAAACGCACAACAGCCATGACCTCAACAGCCACACTGTTAAGGTGTGATTGGCAAACTGATTAAAAAAAAAAAAAACCTGTAAGAATGTGTGTCAGTGAGCAACAGCACTTGATAAAAATGCAAAGCCTGCAAATGGATGTCATTAGTGCAAAGCCATGAGCTGTAGATGGCTGGCTGGTGTCATAATTAGTGACAGGGGAGTTCTTGGCAGGGGAAGAGAGAATGGAGAGGGAGCAAGTGTTTTGTGAAGGCCTCGCTCGGTGCAGAAGTCCCGAGCGAGGCTGAGTGGTGCAGTCCTTGGCTGGAGAATGAAGCGCCTCATTCCCACCAACCTGCTGCATGGAGAAGCCAGAGAGCGCCCCTCACCCCACTGCCAGCGACGCCAGCTGCACCCTGCAGGCTGCACCGTCTCCTGCCTGTATTTTGCACTTGAGAGTCAGTCACGACCAGTACATTCAGCCAACCCGTCCCGCGCCCCATCTGTCTCAGTGACACCCATAACAGGAGCCCAGGCTCCCAAGCCTCCTGCCGCCGCCTGGAAGAGCCTCCCATCAGGCAGGAGACGAGACGCCAGAGGCCATGGCATATGAAACGTGCCTGGGAGGAAGGCACCAGGACTTGGCATTTGTAATGTAATTAAGCGCAGCAGTCTCCTTAGCTAAAAGGATTTTAATTTTATAGAGGATGGGAAGATTCCGGTATGGAAAAGGTCAACTCGCTTGCGGTGTGATTTAGTCAGAGGACATTGATGGAACTCCCTGAGTGGGCAATCTTAGAGCCATGCCAGCACCCCCACCCCGGGGAGGGCACAGGCATTATTCTGTGAGTGTGCCCTTCTCAGTCCCTTCAGACCTGCATCCTGCACCCCTAGACCATTACTAGTCCACCTTTCTTCTCTAAGCACTTGTTTCCATCATGACATCTTTATATCGAGGCCAGAGCTTTACCCCGTTCAAACCAGAGAGTGCAAGAGAAAACACACACACACACAGACACACACACACCCCTTGGGTTGGGCAGGCACAAAGACAGCCAGGTCTTCCCACTCGAAGCCTTAAACTTTCTGATCATTCCAAGGGTTTTGTAAAATTCACCTTAAATGTCACGCCTGAAGAACAGCGACCGAATCGATTGTCTCCTGTTTCAGCAGAGCCGTTTGTGGTTAAGGTTAAGCCTGCCTGGATACACAGCCTGGGTTGCTTTCCAGAAGGAACACGGGGCCTGTGAGAAGCACAGGGAGCAGTGGCTACGTTTGAACCCTTGTTGCCCCCATGCAGCACCTGCTTCCATGCGGGGGACCTGGAAGCAGCAGCAGCAGCACCTGGGTCTGATCTGAGATCCGCTGTTCTGTCATCAGCTCCTCCAGTGGAATTACTTCTCTGCCTTTCAAACAAATGAAATAAATCTATTTTTAAATTTTTCTAAAGAATTCTTACACATTGCCCTTTTACAGGGAGTACATGGAAAGCTTCAAAGTGTTGGCGGAAATGAAATTATTGATGAGTTTATTTTGCTGCTAAAATTGTTTTTAAATTTATTTTGCAATGTGGGCCCACACTGTGCATACACAGCAGTGAAGATGTCTCTCTGATGGCCTGCATTGCATCTCAGAGTGCCTGGCTTCCGCTCTGCTCTCAGTCCCAGCTTTCTGCTGGTATGTAGCC